GGTGTTCGTGCTCCTGTACAAAGCTATAGTTGGACTTCACCTCGAGTACTGTGTGCAGGTATGTTCACCCTTCTTCAAAAAAGGATGCCGCTTGTTCAGAGCGTTTTCAACCACTGGCAACGAATATGGTTGCGGTTCAGCGTGGTAAAGGCTACAAGCAAATGCTTCAGGACCTGGGACTATTCTCTTTAGAAAAGAGAAGGTTCAGAGGAGATATGATAGAAGTATTTAAGATACTGAAAGGTTTGTCTGAAATTATACCAGCAATCCTGTTCCAGGAAGCTCTAGATTCCAGTACAATGGAGCACGAAATGAAGCTGGCCAAGGCCCGGTCTCGATTAATAGCCCGATCACACTTCTTTAGCAACAGGTGTGACGGTTTNGAAAGCTTTTGTACACAATACGTTTCTGAGTTTATTATCTTCCTTTTCTTATCTCTTCTTTCTCTTTTATGAACTCAATATGAAGGCTAAAAATGTGTTTAAATTATAAATAGGCCACAAAATGTTTTACAGTGTNTACAGTGTCTAAAATAAATCGTGAATATTCTAATCAAAGAGGCTCAACAATGTAAGGCAATGGGATTAAACACTCGTCTGGTGCATATGTTTCTGACCTGTAGTATAGATGATTGTGTAGGTCAAAATGATTTCAGATAGTGTCAATGTCGTTTGAATGCATTCCTGTTGCATGCCTGCTGGATAATTTATTGTTTACAGTGAATCGCAACGCAGTGAAGTCGTCATATATCCAGCCACCGAGAACATATGCAGGGATGGTGTAAAGCTTCGCGTTAAGGTCCAAAATAACTTCAATGAATTCGTATCTCAGTTTTTCGTTCGCAGGCTTCTTTTTTCTATTCAACATTGTTCCTGACTACATAGCAGCCATCCTCGTTCTTCGCCATTGGTGGTATTACATATCATTCAGTAGCTAGTCGGAACATCGGCCCAGCTGTGTATCCTCTCTCCTCGGGAAACCATGAATCGTAAGTTATTGAAATCTGGAAGAAAGAAAAAAGAAACCGACAGCCTGGGCTCTGCCCCAGCTGTTTATTAAAGCACATTATGAAAGAGGTGTTACGAGTAGCATATTTTGGGCTCAGGATCTCAGTTGACTGTTTATCAGGGAATCTCTGAGCACTCAGAATATTTAATAGCTCAGATCAGTTTCATAGGCTCGATCTTCTGTGATATAGCGATTCACAAGCTGTATCAGATTCCGAACGGTGAGATATTTATTAATTCGGATCTTAAAAGTTGACGTGTGTTGAATAGTACGTATGGTCTGAGGTAATTTGTTCCATAAAGCAGCGTACTTCACCAGAAAAAAGTTGGATCTCACGGCCACCCTGGATAGGGGAGTAGTGACCATGTGGTATCCATGTCTAAGATAATAAGGTGCGTCAGTACTTTCTCTAATTTTCGGGACTGATCTGAGAGTCTTATTTTTGTGAGATTATGGAAAAAGATCAGATTTAGTCTCATTCGTCTAAGCTATAGTGGATCGATATGAAGACTCTCACAGCGCTGTTTATATCTCAGTTGACATGAACTCTCAGTAAGCCTTTTTGTCACTGAAAGTTGGACTTTTTATCGCCACTCTAGTAGTTTTCCACTTCATAAATGGATCCTTCCTTGTGAAAAGGGATAATTATTGATGTTTCCCATTGTTTAAAGTACATACCGAACCTCATAGATAAATTGAATGAATTTCATAAAATTATGGGAATATCTAATCCTCTATAACAAAAGGTGGCTGGAGGAATTCCATCAGGGCCGGGTCTGTGTGAGGGTGTGATTGACAATAATAGTGGCGTAATGTCCCTGGGATGAAAAGACACTAATGACAGACTCTCGCCAGAAAAACATACCGGGGATATATTAGCTTGAGGAAGGTCCTTTGTTAAAGAGGAAACAAAAAAGTTTTAAATGCCTCATATATGTCCTCCGGGTCATCTATATGCGAGTTGTTGTAATTAATTAAAAAGATATCCTGGTGTGGTTTGTGATTCATTATTTTCATTATTTTTGATAGAATTTCAGTCTTATCAGAATGACAGAGAGCCTCAATCTCTTGCTGTGTCTGAAACCAGTTAGCATACGTGTTGACGGATCTTGATAAAACGTCCAGCTGAATGTTGTAGAAACCAGAGTGAAGAAAATCCCTCTCCTCGGTTCGAGGCGTGACCACTGTTGTTCCCCCCTCCCAATTACCCCTTTTTCTCCTGTGTGAACACGTTCTCTTTTGTCACTCCTGATTTGACCTTGATCACAGCTTGATCCCCCGTGTTAGTCATTGTCTATGGTTGCTTAATGTCGGATTCTCATATCTAATGGCCTTCTGTGTCTACCTATCGATCCCACCCGTGTCATTGTCTTGTGCACTAACGTGGCCTTGGCGTGTCATTGCCCCGATCCATAACCGCCCCAGTCCCTCGCTATNTATGCCCCGTCATTGGCCCTGTGGCCTTATTCGTTGTCTTGCTCTTAGCGAGTGCGTACCTGACTTCGAACACTGGCTGTTCACGTTTGGTGAGCAGAATTTCTCCCCTTGGCAAACAGATCATTATCGATCTGTTTGAATTTATCTTGGCTGTTCACGTTAAGTGAACAGAATCCTCTGCTCGACCTAACAGGTATTTATGTTCCCTCTTTGTATGGGTATTTCCTCGTCTTTATATCAGGTCTCTACCCATTTTTTTGAACTCACCCTTTTGGCTGTATAGCGACGGAGTCGCATTGTTGAGGTATGTTGTTCTTTGACTCGCCTAATGAAATAAACAGTACCGTACGCATTGCGGATCAATATCGTTCTGACTTCG